TTTTTTTTTTTTTGAGACCAGCTCTTACTTTTGTCACCCAGGCTGGAATACAGTGACATGATCTCAGTTCACTGCAACCTCGAGCCAGTCTCAAGTGACCCTCCTGCCTCACCCCTCCAAGTAGATGGGACTTTAGGCCTGCACCACCACACCCAGCTAATTTTTGTAGAGATGGGGTCTCACCATGCTGTCCAGGCTGGTTTTGAACTCCTGAGCTTAAGCAGTCTGCCCACCTGGGCCTCCCAAAGTGCTGGGACTACAGGCATGAGCCACCGTGTCCAACCTCTTATTTTTGAGCGTTTGGTGAAAATCACTTCAGTCTATTATTCCTGGAAGTAGAATTGTTGGGTCAAAGAGTAGGGACATTTAAAATTTTAATTCATTGCCATTTACACTTGCCAAAAGGTTTTTAGCAATTTATGTTACTGTGATACAAAAATACATATTATCTTACATGGTTGCCAACACTATAATCAATGTTTAAAACTTTGCCAACAGATTATGTCATTGTTTTTTCGATTTTGACTTAATGAGGCTTGGCAAATATTCAGTTTCTTGGAAAATCTTTTCTGTTGGGGAGCTGCCCATTCTTGTCTCACTACTTTATTATTACTATTATTATTATTATGAGACGGAGTTTCGCTCTCGTTGCCTGGGCTGGAGTGCAGTGGTGCGATTTTGGCTCACTACAACCTCTGTCTCTCGGGCTCAAGCGATTCTCCTGCCTCAGTCTCCCAAGTAACTGGGATTACAGGCATTTGCTACCACGCTGGGCTAATTTTGTATTTTTAGTAGAGATGGGGTTTCACCATGTTGACCAGGCTGGTCTCAGACTCCTGACCTCATGACCCACCCACCTCAGCCTCCCAAAGTGCTGGGGTTACAGGCGTGAGCCACCGTGTCCGGCCTAAGTGTACTCAAGCCTTAGTTAAGGTTTATTTCTATTTATAGCAAAGATAGCTGAGATGTCAGACTCTTCCCTTTCGTGGTCTCCAGTGCGGTGCCTGTGGTAACAGCGTTTCACAGGAAGCACCGCGGAGACGCAGCCCCGGGGACTGCCATGGCCCCACGAGGGGGCAGCGTCTCTTCCCTCTCTGGTCCCCTTTACCCATTCCATGACAAATGGTGGGCACAAAAAAGATATTGCAGGAAGGCCCTCGGTGATTCACTTCATATGTTTATGTATTGGCTGAATTATTTTTGTAATTTTAAAAAAGGAAAGGCAAAGTCATTTTATAGGGAGGCCGGATGGAACTGGGCGCCCTGAGTGCAGATGCCATATGTTTCTTCTGCTTCACAGGCTTCCCCTGGAGAGAAGCAGGCTGCCAGAGAGCCTGTGCTGTTCTCAGCAGCACAAACAGTCGCTAGAGGAAAGATGTTAATTCCACACTCTGAGGACCAGGCTGGCCCACATACATACTGCTCCGCAGCCTCACAGAGGTGGGAGAGGGGGACCTCCTCTTGGATTTTGTGGGTTGGCTGTTACCCAGGCATAGACTTGCTGCAGGAGCTGTGATTTTTTTTCACAAGAGTAGTGAGAAGGCACATTGATTCTTAATTCACACTCAAAAGGGAATACTTTTATTTTTAAAAATGTAGTTTCAGTATTTTACCTTTCCTTTGCCTAGCAAGGAATGATGCATCTGACCTTGCCAGTCACAGAAGGTACTTCCTTGTCTGCTGCCTGTGGATAGGTAAAATACCTTTTTTTTTTTTTTTTGAGATGGAGTCTTACTCTGTTGCTCAGGCTGGAGTGCAGTGGCTTGATCTCAGCTCACCACAACCTATACCTCCCAGGTTCAAGCAATTCACTGCCTCAGTCTCCCAAGTAGCTGGGATCACAGCCGCCCGCCACCACGCCTGGCTAATTTTTTTGTGTTTTTAGTAGAGATGGGGTTTCACCATCTTGGCCAGGCTGAACTCCTGACCTTGTGATCCACCCACCTCAGCCCCCCAAAATGCTGGGATTACAGACATAAGCCACCGTGCCTGGCCATAAAATATTTTTAAAAAATTTTTTTAGCTGGGCTCCAGCTGCTCTGGAGGCTGAGGTGGGAGGATCACTTGAATCCAGGAGTTTTTGAGGCTGCAGTGAGCTCTGCACCAGTCTGGGTGACAGGAGACCCTGTCTCTTAAAAAAAAAAAAGGCCTGGGCGCAGTGGCTCACGCCTGTAATCCCAACACTTTGGGAGGCTGACACGGGCAGATGACGAGGTCAGAAAATCAAGACCATCCTGGTGAACATGGTCTCTACTAAAAATACAAAAAAATTAGCCGGGTGTCGTGGCAGGCGCCTGTAGTCCCAGCTACTCGGGAGGCTGAGGCAGGAGAATGGCGTGAACCCGGGAGGCAGAGCTTA